GTTTGGGCAGGAATTGACCAACTAACCTCCAGCTTACAGAGTATCTAAACCACTGAGCCTTGCAAATCGATCTACCAAGGAGTGGCTTTTTGTGATAGTAAATCTAGCACATGTTTTATTCATGTGCAGATCTCTGCATGCCACAGCAAATATTATGGTTAGAAATGCTTTAAGAAAATTATGCAATGACTCTCTCAAGTCAGTATATGAGACACTTTTCAAATTTCAGTTGTCAATTTTTTCTTGACCATAAACAAATTCCATGCATTCATTGTAAATAATCCAGGCAAACTGGTTGAACACTTGGGTTTCAGTTAATGAACATGTAAACTTTTACAAGGACTACATCATGTCTGGTCAGAATTCACTATCAGTTCAGGATGTTGGGACCAATAAAATAGAACCAGGTGAGATTATAGGCATCTCACTGAGAGCTAAAATAGGAATGCTTCATTCACTGTCACATGCCAGTCACTATTAATCCAGCTTAATAGGTATACACACGATCATACATACGTCAAATATCCACATGCAGTAGACTGACACCTGGCTACTAACTACTAAAGTGAGTCTTGTGCTTTTACGAGGCAATAGGGGAACTGTCGCATTGGGGTGGTATGCAAATAAACACATTGAGAAAATAACAACACACAAAAATTGTTCTCAGTATTTTCTATACTCAGAATGCCATGACTTGAGGTATGGTTTTAACAAATATGGCTAATTTTGGTTAGATAGTTGATAACCCCTTCCATTTGTACTGGAAGTTGACAAACTACTGGCACATGCAATTCTCTCAGGTTGCCCTGGGAGTTAGTTCATCTATCCATCCTCAAACCACAGTATATTTGCACAGTATGACCACTGAGATCTTCTTGCCCTGATACTTCTGGTCACAAATGTCATGTCATGTTACTGTCAGCCTTCTGGTGGTTCAGATCACCCCCATCCCCAGCAATGCGTCTCCGTTGTAATGTATCTTCAGTTTGCTGTTCTAGGCTAGCAATGTGATCATCTAGAAGTTTCTCAAGATCTTTGGTTCTGCGTAGATCCTCTGCTACAAAGTTAGCTGTAATGGACTGTCTGGAATCAGGCCTCTAAGATAGAAAAGACAAAAATATATCAAAATTTCATGTACATGTATGTTACATGGAATGAGCTATGTTTTTTCCCACAATGTCTTCTTTGCAAATAATTCACGATGAGTTCAGTAGTTTTACAAAAACTTATTTCATAGGATGTCATTGTAATACATCATGTCATCTATATTTGAAACGTGAACAACGTTCCATTAAGACTAATAATAATTAACAGTTTGTTATGGCTACAGTTACATTTAAATTCAATTAAAAACAAAATTCAAAAGAAAAAATCAATTCAACAAAATCTGTTGGTTTCCAACGTAGTGACTGTGACCTTTTTCATAGGGTAGGCTCTTTCAATGTCTTGCTTGTGATAGAAAGAAATCGTTCACGGCATACTGATTCATTTAGCCAAATTTCATTTCAAATTAGTGCAGTCCCAAGAGGGCAGTGCACTGATTCAAGCTGCTAACAAACACAGTGTCATGTAGTCAGCACCCATTTATGTCAGCCTTCAGGATGGTTAACAACACATGACTGACGATTTGTTTGTCTGACAAGACAAAGACAGTTGATCTCTTGCCACACCTCACCTCTGACTCCCATTTACTGGAAGGTATAACCAGCTCTGGAAAGCCCAACATTTCTGGTACAGCTGCGGACTCGTAGTTATCATCAAACAACTTCTTAACAGTTGGTGATGGCTGCCGGCCATGAGGTGTGCCGGTGGAATGGTTGGAATGAACAGGTAACAGATGGGTTGGCAGTTGGGGTGATGAATGCTCTGAGAGATGAGTTAATGCAGGTAGTGATGGACGGGATGAGACATGGCTTGAGGGTTGGGGTGGTGAAGTTGCAATTGTCTCTATGTTACTGACGAAGTCAGCCATTGCAGAGTTCTCCCCTTGCAACCCTGAAAACCAAATGCAAATACACATACAACATTCACCTTCATTATTCTACATATACTGAATTTAATTAACATTCATAAATACCTAAAACAGTTGTCTGTGGTACAGCCAGCCTTAACACTTGATAAAGTACCAGTTAGCTGTGCAACACATGAAAAATGCACCATGTGTGCAAATCTGCGTATGAGGGGTTGTCATTTCCCATAGACCTTTTCACTAATAAAATCATAATAATGCACGCATGTGCACAAATGGCCTTGGCAGCAAGAAGTGTGAGCAGACCCCTGAAATCACACAGGGGTGCGCTTTTGATCATTTTCTCTCAGGTTTCCTGGCTTTGTTCAGTTTTTTCTTCAGAAAATCCCATTAAATTGTTTTTGCTATTAGTTTCTAATCTGAGCCAAATTTTTAGTGCTCCGAGAAAAGACTTCATTATCATGATTTTTCCTGTGCACGCGAAACCAAAACTAGATTTCGAAGACAAGTGTATTTTGCCTAGATTTTTCAGATTTGTGGATAACATTTGGGAACTACATACACGTTGACATTAAACTCAAAGTACTGGTGCCCTCTGGAATGAGCCATTTTGACGCCTTCTCCGCAGATTGGTATAGCTGAATATAGCTGAATATGAAACTAAACGTCATATCGCTTTAACAAAACATTACAGTTATCTGACATATCTGATGATGACACACAATGAGAGATCCTGAAAACAAGCTCGGTGGTCGAGTGGTTAAGATGTCTGCACTAGTAAGCAGGGGGTCATGGGTTCGAGTCCCACCCGAGTAAACTTGTGTTCTTTTCACAAGCCTTTGGGGCAAACACTGAGTATACAGTGTTAAAACACACATCAGGAAGGGCAAAAATCCCAAATTAAGATCCTGGATGATGAAAGTGATGTAACAGGAAAAGTTATTTGCCTTGCCTGAAACTGTACAGGACAAACAGGCTACGGGCAAAACCAGATTCAAACCCCACTCACCAACGAAGACGTTACGGAGAAAACATGAACAAGGCAACCATACATGTATTTTCAACTAATAATGATCTCAAAATGTAAAAATGGTGTGTTTGAACTTCTAGAGCGCAAGACAAACTCAAATATTGCATTTGGGAGGAGCTTTTAATGAATGGTCATGGTGCTTGTTTCTCTCTTTTCCAAGGTACTTAAAAGCAACAGAAAAGAACTACGAATGGGCTGTTTGGACCTTCAGTGAATAGAAAAGTAATTGAAATGAGTACACTACTGAAAATTTCTGTGATAGAAAATATTCTTACAGCAGAAACGTGAGGTATTATAATTATGTGACGTGAACATTCACGTATCCAAGCTTCAAGGTGGGCATTATCAAATGTCAATATGGTACATGGTTAAGTGATGCATTTGGACCAACAGGAATAGAGAAACTGTCCCAGGTGTTTATAAATTCATATTAAGAGATGATTTGCACACAAAGGAGACACTGAGCAAAATTACAATGTGGAAAGAGACTATGGACACTGAATAAATGAAGTGAACCTATTAACACTTGAATAACTTAGCAAATAGCAAATCCAGATGTGACAAATATACCGGTACATGTACATGTAACTATGTAATACTGGAGAGACATGAGACAGGGTATATAAAAACCTGCTTTAAAAATCTGGATGTTAAGTCCCAAAAGAAATGTATCTAATGTGGACCTCAATACATGAAGTTATAAATGCAATAATATCTTGAACATAGACACAACCACCACATTTTTATGAGGACTAAACATGATGGTAACGGTTGTAAATGAGACACCAAAATGTGACATGGCAATAATGACGGATTATAAAGTTTGTAATGACTGTCATAAATGCTGTTCAATTTTTCTTCTGGTGTGTTTGATGTTGTTATACCTTCTGAATGCTTGTAGGTATATTCAGTTCAATAACTGACATATCGTGCATTTTGTAAAGTCATCTTAGTTTATGGTTACGTTCGTAACGTGGTGTCCTGAGTGGTTACGAGTGTCCACGCTGATGCTGCTTTATCACCGCAAAAAGTTTTAGTTTGCCCAGTTGCCCCTATCAATTAAAAATTACCCATTTGTAAATTCAGAACGCCCAAGGAATCTGCAACTGTGGACATGAATTAAATTTGCAGACCTCCTTGTAACACGTTATGAGTGTGCGTTGTGTACCGCATCAAGCTTACACTTGCTGGTGTACATTCCAGTAAAACCACACTGGGGCATTCCACACTACATACAACTGACGTTATAAGGCAGAGTTTTAACTACACTGTTTGAATTGTAGTTATGTAAATAGAAATATCAGGGGCTTGTAATAAGTACACTTACGGTATATCAGTTAAGGAGAGTGTAGAAATAGGTGGGAAGTTTTTCACCCAAAACTGCAGTTCCCACTGAACAGCAAGCAAAAAATGTGTCCAGTAACTGACGTTAAGCAAAAAGGACATGGAAAATTATCGTGTAGAGTCAAATTGAAATATCTCATGCCCCTGACTTGTTTAATTTGATATAAAAGATAGTTTCTTAGGAACAGAGGTGCAAAATAATAAGTAAGTTAAACGTTTCCATTTTAACGCTTTAGTGAAGATATGGCAGTAACTGACGTCACGCTTACATTTGCCGTAGGATTTACACATGGAAAATCATAATTGAGAATTGGTTTGTAATATCGCATGTCCCTGACTCATTCCAATGATTTATTTGATATGGAATCATATCTTGGTTTTTAAAGTACAGAAGCACAAATGAATGGAAACGTTGGTCTATTTTCTATTAAGTTTATGAAGACTTTATCATAAACATGACAGTAACTGATTTGTAAAACTACAAACAACTGAGTACATCTGTGTATTCATTTGTCTTTAAAAAAACTTGACCAAGGTTATTGAAAAACAGAAACACTGCAATTTTTTGAAAGCAATCATTAAGTCCAGATTTTAAAACCTTAAGCATAGCCTGTAATTATATGTATGTTTTAGAAAAGGTGGTTATCCTACAACCACAAAACTGTCATTGATTACCAAACTCTGAATTAATTTACCGGTAGATTTCTTATCCTGTACAACTTCAAATTTTAATGTTGGGTTTTACTGGACAGTGTATTTGACATGCACTCAGAGTTGATGATATTACCTTAACAGGTCCTTACTGGAAACCTTAAAAAAGAAGGATCTTGTGAAATTTAGAGTACCAACTCTTTAGCTTTAAGTGAATGAGAAGTGCCCTTGTGCAGAGACAACTGTTGGTAGTGGCAGTTTTCACCACTGGGTCCTAACAGCATCCCTCATCAGGAAGCGAGTTTTGAGGCCATTACTATCTCTGCAGTGCTCACATTCATTCCGTTTACACTTCCTTGATTCAGACAAACAGATTATGGTATCCACAAACTGATGGTCATATACTGGAACTGAAGTATAAACTTTGTGCTACTCAACTCACTTCCTCATCTTTCATTTTCCTTTCACGTTTCAGTGGCTTAAAGGTGGTGTACACCATTGGTAAAAATCCCCAAAATCGGACTACCCTATAATCCTGAAATATCTTACTTGAAAGAAAGTACACACCATCTCAATCAGTCTGTAAAATATTTTGACTCAGAATGCTGTAGTTTTTGAGAAAAACAATAATTTTGTTCTCTTTTATTATGGTGGTCAGCCGACCATCGTAGTAGAGTTAATTTCACTTCGCATATCACATCCTTTAACAGGCGCCAAATTTCTTATATGTACATGTAGTGCAGATGTTGTGGGAGTCTCCATTTATGAACGGATTAAACCTAAAAGCAGCTAAGAATATATACTGACATTCTTTCGTGAAAAACACTGTGAACTGAAATTATAGAAATCTGAGTGTTAGGCGTAAAGTAGAAAATAAATAGGATCCGTGTGATGTTGAATTTTATTGAAGGAAAGGTTTTTTTAAGGAAATCTTTGCGAATTCAAAATCACCCCTGGATAATAATGGTATGATCCAATATGGCAGATGTTTCCTAGCACAATGATTTTCGTCAACAAAAAGTACGAAATTCCACACGTAAATCCTCCCTTGTTTTAAGACATAATTCTTTTTAATTATAATTATTAATGATTCAACTATGGTGTTTCTGACTTTCATCGACGTGTGAACTGACATGAAAGTGCCGTTATAAACACGATTACGCGCGCAGTGCATTATCATATAGGCCTACTTGATTCGATGTCACAGACATGAGTTGACTGCTGTTTTCCTGGATGAAGTTTTTCTATGAATCCGCAATGCTACATTGTCGACATGGTCGAGGAGGCGCATTACTCTAAGGTAAATTCACTGATTATTCCTGGCCGTTGAAAACTGCTCCTTTCTGGGTATGAGAACCTGTCATGTTTGTTTCCCACCCTGACCCTGTGGACGATGTTCGCTTTACCACGAATGCACTATAAGCCATAGATTTTACGCAAGATAAATTACAAGACCTTCAATTTAAGCGTTGAAAATGTCGCGCTGTTTTTCTTGATTTTTCACAAAGCAGTTGACTCAATCATGAAACAAGTGAGTGGAATGTAAGTTGCAGTGAGTATAACACACTGTAATCAGCTTATCTTGTGAAATTACAACATAAAACCAATGGTGTACACCACCTTTAACCAACGACTTTTGAAGATATTGCTCTCCAGAGAAAATCACCCCTCAAACCAGTCATGACGAGGCCCATCACCATTTTGAAAATTGATGCCTACACTCCATGGCAAAATAGAGCAATTTAGAGGGCCCTGTTTGGTCCGATACTTTCAGAAATACAAGCTGGTAATCCTGCTGATAGATTCCATCCTCCTTTTTAACAAACCACAAAGTCCATGGGTCATGAAATGCTCTTATAGCAGAGAATTTGAAGCCTACAAATTGTGATTCGGTCTGCATAGGCAATATTGGACCTACTGGCCTGCAACCCATTAGGTGAATGAATGGGGCCAGGGATATCATAATTTTCTTAGTAACTGACGTTACATCACGGTAACTGACGTTACAAATTGGTTTCTACAGGGTAACATTTCAGTTACTGATGTTACACATTTTGAAGAGTCAGTTTTGGCTCAGTGGTACGTTGAGTATCCCTATTTTTGGTACGGAGAGGAAGACATTTGCTCATAGATTAGAAGTCTCGAGTTACACCATACGGATCATCTTCTTTGTGGAATGAAATTAAAAATCCATGTTTGGGGTAACTGACATTACATCCATTATGGTAAAACTGATCAAGGTTTTTTGTAACATTCATTCATGAAACCAGCAATTTTTTTCTTATCATTTGGTAAAGTGTTTCTCTGGTAACTCCATCCATGTGAAAGATTACCTTTTAGAGCACTGGCATAGTGGAGATACATAGTGGAGATACATAGTGGAGATAAGTTGTATGCCAATGCAATCTTTTTACCGTCAAGTTATTGGCATACTTTGGCCATCATTTGGAAAATCAAAATGGCCACCTTCATAAACAATATTGTTGATTCGTAAAACTTTAACTTTGTTTAAAAATATAAGGTGTTCAAACCAAATATCATTCTGAATTTTTGGCATCTGTGTCCTACATGTATATGTAGTGGAATTGAACACAGCCTCGTACCCATTACCCATGCAGTATGTATGCAAAACATGCACATGAATCGTTTCCTACAACAGGGAACAAGGATGGGGTCGCGACATTTGTTGTGTCTTCACATGTTGGTACAGCTATTACGAGCGTAACTGTCAACATTTACGGTTTGCAATCCAAGGAAATCTGAGTCAATCCATCACCACAGACGATGTTTCTTCATTAGAAGCCCAGTGTAAGAACTTACAGACACTATATTACCATTCTGTTCTGTATATGTGGCAAACTATGTGCTTACACACTGATTTTTGGATGGTGATATATGACGATGCACTAAAGTCGCTTGGAGTCCTGTTTTTACAGAAAAACCATTTTCCTCACCTAGATGTCACACACTGCAACTGTTTCTGTGCAGCTGACAAAACCAGTCAGATATAAACTTTGATTAGTTGGATGAATATTTCCACGGTGGACTTACTGTTGAGTAAATGTGTCTTGTCTTTCAGTTGCTGTTTGAGGGCTGTACAAACATCTCTGAGTCTAGTCATTTCTGCTTCATATTGTTGCACTGTGGTATCTAGCTGGGACTGCAACATCTCTGTGTTGTGGCTCTCGTGTTCTGACATCTTCTCCAGCTTCCTAAACCAAGAAAGAAATGTCCAAGAATGACAGCTGGTTTTTCTGTATGATCACACATTACTTACCCAATGTGACCATTCCTTTGTTTGCTTATTATATGGTATACCAGAATGGTACATGTATGTACATGTACTACTTCATGTCATTTAATTGTTGAGCGCTGTGACGGGGGGGGTGCCATTTTTTTCACACAAGGGATGTCACAGAGAAGCCAACATGTTTGTTGTAATCACTGCTAAATCCAAAGGATAAACAGCTAGGACTCATTTTGAAGAAGATGAAATTGAGAGACTGATGGCACTCCCAAAGATGCACCCTACACACGTGTACAGGGCAATGCACATACCAAACTTTCACACCGGGTTAGTGTATACTATCATTTTTAAAGACTGCACTCATGAACATTATGAACAAAAAGTGCTTTATGATTGGTCAGCAACATCAGCACAATAACTTTCAATGGCAAATGTTTGCAATCCTGCATCAAACCTGGACTAACTTCCACCAATGTGATTTTGCATCATTGCAAAAATCCAAGATACTGGTATCTGCATCATGCTGAGTTAATGACCAAGTTGGTTCTTGATACAAAATCACATTGAGCCCATTTCCACTAGGGTAACAAAGCATTTAAAGTGAAACCAAGAGCTTTCTGCAAAGTTGGGATATGCACTACAGTACTTACTTTTAATTCTTGGTAGTTGAAATATCTTACCATCTCTTAACACTAACACTGGCTGAAACTTACAATGTATCTACACCCTGATCAATCCCAACCACGCCAAATCTATTCCAACCATGCCAAATCTATCCCAACCACGCCAAATCTATCCCAACCACGCCAAATCTATCCCAACCATGCCAAATCTATCCCAACCACGCCAAATCTATCCATGGAGGAAGGTCAAAGAGGGAGTTACAACTCTGGCACTTCAAAGTGCTCCAATAATAGAAAACATTCCAAAAATGCCTGACTGCCGGCAGTTTAGCCAAACAAGAGGGGCCAGTAATATCCTAGCAAAGTTGTAGAGCTTTGCTTGCGAGTAACAACAACTTATCACTGTGACCTGGAAATAGAAAGGGAAAATCCTAAATGTTAGACCTACCTTTGCCATCATAAATAAACTGGTTTATTTTGTACACTGTTATCCATGTAATGTTTGTAACTTTATTCTTGTCCCTCCAAAGCATCAGTTTTTTTAATTACGGTACAAGTCAGAATTTTAGCCAACATGCAAACATGCTCAGCGTGTCAGCATGTATCGAGTCAAAGAGACACGAAAGGAGTTAACTGCAAACACAAAACACGGTGACCCCTGCATAACAGAGAAGGCCGACACTGCAATCTGATCTACTGAGTATAAACATGCACATGCTACACGTAAACCCAAGAACAGCCAGGCATTTGTTGACCAGAGCAGTCATTTTCCTAGTTTCCCACAATGAAAAGTATTCAGTTTGACTGCAGCTCAAGTTATCTTCAAATTCCATGGAAATGTGGTCAGTAGTTTACCTTGTATGTAGCAGGCATCAAAGATTATTTTCAAAGATAAAGCATTTTGCTTGTCCATACAGGATCGATAATAATGCCATGCAGACAACACTTTTGGTTAATGTCTGAATTGTTCCAAAAACATCTGAATCAGGCACAGAAAAGTATGAAATCAATCTTTCAACAGAGATGATTGTAACTAGCAGTTTTTATGACAAAACATTTCCTAAATTAGAGAAAACTATTTTGTAAGAAATCCACAAAAAATAAACGGGGTTTGACCTTGCTGGTCCGCTAGCCAAATTTCAGTCAAGACGGCCCCCACAGCGGCGATCCTGGCATACACACTTGACCTCATTGTGTTCAAAATTGCATGAATATGAATTCAATGTGAGGTGGGGATCTTTCCCATCATTTTCGACCTTTGAGCTGGAACACCTACCTAAAAAATTGCTCTGGTTGTGACAATGTTAGGACCAAACTGAACGGCAAAGATCTTACTGAAATGAAAGGAAGTCCAGTCTGCACTAGCGCCAGCAACGTGCATGCACTGGCTGCACACAACGGACAAAGTAGCGCCCATGTGAACTTCATGTGCATGTCGTGTGACATGTAAGGGCTGTAGCTTTGCATTTGTTGGCGCTGTTTCAAAATAAATATGCAATACACTTGTTTCAATTTATAATTGGTGGTTGGGATGGAAGCACTGGGGTGGTTGTAGTTTCGTGATTGCTTGGTTGCCGCATGGTTGCAGCACATGGCAGCAAATGAAAAAGTCAAGTTAAATTTACGCAAGTTCAGTAGGTGTTTTTTAATTTACTGGAATTCTGATACATGAACATAATTACATAATTAAAAAAACACCTGCTGAACTTGCTTGTTGTAATAGTTCTGGCTGAGGACTGGATTACTTTCGTAGTTAATGTTTATTTGTGAAAAAGTTTTTGCGCAATCAGGAATTGCTTAAAACCAATCTAGCATTAGAACCAGCAAGAAAAGCGTCATCGTCGTCGTCACTCCAGTTGATCCCGTGAGTTTAAGATTCAAAGCTTACATTTGGGAAAAAGTTTTGTAGTAGCTAAACACATACGGTGGAATACTGGCCAGTTTCACTAAAATTTGACATTTTCCAGATGTAATCCGGCTGAACAAATTTTGTGATCCAAAACAAAAAGAAAACAGCTGTGATAGTGATACATATTTTGATACTTCAAGATGGTCATCTTGCCAGCCAGGCCCTACACGTTCATGTATGTGATTTCACTTATTCAGTGCACTGCCATACACTGTACGTTGTACATGTATATACACGTACACGCATGCACAAGCTAGAGCGATGGCTCTGCGTGTGCAGTGGTTCACTACATGTTATCGGTCAACTTTGCGGTCTGCAAGCGCAACCCTGGCCGCGATAATGAGGTCCAGGGTCAGGCTTATCATGTTTTGAACCAGCAATGCACGGTAAAACTGCAAAGCGTGTATTGAACAGCGTGTCAGGTTCACTGATCGTGTTAGTGTGGCTAAAATACTAACCTGTACTGTAGGTTGAAAATACTTATGTCATCTCTTACCGCTCATATTCTTGAGTAAGTTCTGCTATCCTGAGATGGGACTGCTTAATAGCTGCCTGATATTGAAGGTCACTGGCACTTTCAGCCTCCAGTAGCTGCTGTGTTAATGATGTCAGTTTTCTCCTCAACATACTGTTCTCATCCTAGAAAAACAACAATTACACAAATAATAGAAGAACCAAATCAGGATGTGACCTTTTGTCCATTAATTGTGCTTCTTGTGGGTGAGTAGTTACATCACGGACCATTTACCCAGGGATGTGCAACCGTGAGTGGCCCCAGTGCAAACACATGTGCCACCTTGGTTCCATGCGTGCTACGGATTGTTATTACCCCCGCAGGCGCTCTCAACTTTTCTCGAGAAAACTCGCGACCACATGACACAGGTTGCAGCATGCAGCATGTACAGTGCAGCGGTGGTTATGCCGAGACAAAGCGCCGACATGGTGTTTAAATCTATTTGTTTTGACGAATAAATCTTCGTCATTTATCGATTTCAAGGACAAACGAGGCAAAATTCCCCAATTTTGTGGTACACTTTCTCAGAATGTATAGGATGAAATAGCTTGAGCAGCATAATTTTAGAAAGGGTGTACCCTGACTTAAATATTACAAGAAAACTGAGTGGTAGACAGGAATGTATGTTTGTTAATGAAAGTGTTACATAATCCAATTTAATTTCTGCTTTGATATTGTGCCGGCAGTAACACGCACTGAACCAGCTCTGAGCTTGGTTACATGTAGTTGGCTTGGGCGGTATTTCGGTATTACCGAATACCGCAGTTTTGTTTTTAATACCGAGCAATACCGACTAACAATCCATGAATACCAGAATACCGACTAATTCGGTATTGGATTTCAATACCGTGGTATTCTGGCTAATTTGTTCAGAATGTTCCCACAACCCTCATAAGGTGAAAGCAGACAATTATATCCACAACAGTGACTGCATACTTTGTGGTTTCAGTCATCCAGCATCCCATTTGTGTTGTGCTTTTTGGTGAAGAGATAAGACCTAACGTAACGTGATACTTCAGCATGCAGCCATCAACCTGCCTGTCAAAAGGTTTTGTTTCCCTATCACCACTGTCAAGTTTTCAGTTTTGGAATAGCTTGGAGGCAGTGCTTCTTGTATTACTCGTTGGCACATGTATACACAAACAAGTATCACAGCCCTACAGGTTGGGAATTAAAAATCAGCTGGTCTTCCGTGTCCGCACTGGACTTTATTTTCTGAAGATTTTTTTGGCGGATCAGAAAATGCGAATGCTGCTTGTGCTAGCCTTGTGCTCGCTTAGGGTCTTTTTTGTCCTTTATATACAACATGTACAAGTATTGTGTGAAAATCGAACTGAAGCCAGGAATGTGTGTTATAAACTATAAAATGATTCCATAAATCTGCATCTGTGCAACATCCACGGCAATCAACAATCTTTTTTTATTGTTCTCACATTTGTTCCAACCACATGAAAAGAGAAGCAAAAACCCGATTCCTCACTTGTCACTGCTTGTATTTCAGTTTTTCCCGAATATAAAATTAGGACTACGTGGTTGATCAAAAAGATGTCTCATTGATGATTAATCAAATACCTTGTGATATGTTTAGAATAATAAACTTCACTGTCATAGGACAACATGTTTAATGTGCACGTGAAATTTAAACAAGCAAACACATGTGAAAGCATCGATCCAGGGATTTTTAAAAGACTTTCAATCACCATGGATGATGACGAAGCCAACAGTAACTAACCTGCATGCACATGTAGGCCTGGATGTACCTGCAAGAATTTGAAGGCTCACT